TCTACTGGAGTAACACACACATTTGTTTCCAGCAAAATCAAGGCAGAAAAAAGGGTGTGCATGGTACCTGGGGATACATTTTGTGGAGTCTAAACTATTAGAAAATTGGTGGTGGGAGCCATAAGTGATTGAGTAAGTAATGAAGAGGGAATTTTATTGAGCTCAAATTCAATTAAAATTACGTCTCTTCTTATATTTATTTATGGGATTATTTTGTTAAACATGGTAATTTTAACTAAAAATTTGATGTACAATCAAGTAAAACTGCAGTGCATGACCTATTTAGGGATACATTTTTGGGCGGATTTCATGCCAAAAAAAAAACTAGGGTGCGCATCAAACTCAAGGATGCATGGTACTCAAGTGAATACAAAGATGTTCAAAATCAACTCAATTCAAACAGACTTTTGCAAACCAAAAGAAATCAACTGGAATATGCTTGGGCAAGGGTTTCTGAGAGCACAAAAACAAGCACACACACCCAAAATGTTTCTGTTTTCTGTGAACCATTAGGCCAGGTGCTTTGGTAGAATTCCTTTTCTTCATTGTTTCAAGGATTTTGATTGGATGGTGCAGTTTTCTCCAACTGGTGGTCCACAGACCAACAACAGTCTGCAAAGTAATTTTTCTCAAGCATGATAAATGAATCAAAAGTAGCCATGAAGTCTGTTGACTGTTATCTTTATTTGAAATTTCAGAGAGGCAATGGCAGTTGAAATAATCTGATGAAAAATAAATGTTGAGTTGTCTGTCAACACTTCAGACAAATTTTCCCCAGCTGAAATGAATTATTTTAATCTTTTATTCTGAGAAATATTTCTTCAAGCCCTCCTTTCTAATTTTTGAACACACCCTACTACAGCTGCTTCATTGGTTCCTAACTCAGTTTTTGCAGAAGAGCATACAATTTTTAAATGCCTGCCATAAAGTCTTCCAAACAAAACTTCTCTGAGTCATCAAAAATTTTATGAAACTTTGCTGGTCCACAGAAAATGTTTCTGAAATTTGTGGGTCCCTGAAAAATGTCATTGGAGTTTTCTGGTTTGTGGGCTCAAAAAGGTTGGAGAACACTAGCTGGGCTAATGGATTTCATTTGAATATGGGATGAGTGGAAGAGTGCTGAGGGACCTGTTTCCCCATACCGACATCTTGTCTGTAGGAACTGGACTGAAGAGGTGATTTTCTGTACTCTTCAGGAATTAAGTGATGTGGGAAGGTTAAATTATATTTTAATGCAATTTTTTCTTGCCACTGCCCTGGTCCACTACAGTTATGGACTCGTAAACGATTAACATCAACATGATAAATTCATGAAGTAGATACAACAGTAGATGAGATCGTATTACTCGACGCATTTATGACCGGTCTGGGCGTGAGCTCCGTAACCGCCCTAATGAAGAACCCTTCTTGCGTGAAACACGCATATATTCCTGAGTAAACATCGCAACGCTTGTAAAGAACGATTGCTTCACCTCTGATACAGTTATATACCCCCGGAGAATTTTCCAGGAAAGGAGTGGGGAAAACAAGGCCCAAACACGACGCAATATCCCCCAGGGACGAAAACAAAACGGGTTGATCTTGATTGGACAGCAGGAGTAAGAGTAACTACAACGCTTTTCCCGATAGCGTTAACTCCATGTCCCATTGACGTCATACTTCTTCGCTTCGCTGATGCGTATTCATGAGTGTTCGGAATGAAAATCCGATTGAAGGGCCGGGAATAAATGCTTCAGCTGAAAAGTGATGGGACCTGACGGACACTTCATCTTACTATAGATGGGAATAATTTTCGGAAATCCTTCGCGGGCATGACGCTTTCCGAGTGAGGTGTTCGATTTAGACTGACTTCGAGGAAAACAGCCTGGTGAAATAATGTTGCTGAAAGTGAATGTACGCAGAACAAGATCAAGAAACACTAATTCAAGGTGTTATCATTTTTTTATGATTTCACAAATCAAGTCGCTGAAAATGTTGATCATTTTCCTTTTCAAATGTTTTATTTTGGTGAGGTAAAACAATTGGTCTTGAGAGGGAAAAAGCTGGCATTCTTCCTCAACTTTGAAATCACCTTGCAGAACTGGGAGAGGTGCAATTCCTTTATTTTGGCGCTCAGTAATACAGCCCCAACTTAGACCAAAATTGAACCTAAATTCAATTGCAATTCTATTTTATTATTTTTATGTACATTAATTATTTGCCATATTCCACCTGATGTGATTCTTTCAATGAATGTATAGCTCTGAAAATTTTGCTGGATTTTGAAAGTTCCCCCAAAGTGACTTGCCTATGATGCTGCTTTATATGGCAGTGTTCCCCAACCCCTGGTCTGTGGACCAGCACTGACCATCACACAGTTTTTTGTGGGTCCACAGGAAATTTTCTTCAGCATAAAAAATTTCTCAACAGTAGCAATGATGTCACTTATCTTTATCTGAAATTTTGGAAAGGCAATGGCAGTTGAAATTATCTGATGAGAATGAAAGTTGGCTTTCCTCCTAATGACACTTCAGGCAACTTTTCAGCTGTTGAATTAATTTACTTCAATTTTTCAATCTAAAAACCTTTTCTTCAAGCCCACCTTTCTCATTTGTGAAGGCATTCCACTATACCAGTGGTGCCCAAGATACGGCCCGCGGGCCAGATCTGTCCCGTGGAGGCTTTTCATCTGGCCCGCGGAGCCAGCATGGAAAATCTCCAAAAAATATTTTGACCCTCAAAAAGGAAAAATTGCAAGTTTTTCAAGACGTCTTCAGCCTGCAATTTTGATTAGGAATTTTATTAGGGCTTCTTAAATTCTGTTATGATTCCTTCTAACCAGAAAGAACAGTTTGCATTGCTTTGTGATGTCAGTCATTCTGTTTTTCAGATTAAAGGACAGGGTTTTGCAATTTTTTAATTCATATCCTACCCCAGCATTTTCTGTCATGTTTTTAATTTAATTGCATATCTTGATGAGGGAAAGATATAAAGCAGCTTAATTTTTTTTGAACAGTTTGCATTGCTTTGTGATGTCAGTCATTCTGTTTTTCAGATTAAAGGACAGGGTTTTGCAATTTTTTAATTCATATCCTACCCCAGCATTTTCTGTCATGTTTTTAATTTAATTGCATATCTTGATGAGGGAAAGATATAAAGCTCGAATTAAAAAAATTATCGTACTTGTTTTCATCTGGTAGTACATTTTTACGTTTACACTTCCCTATACCTGTTTAAATCTTTCTGTTAAGTTGTGACGGCCAATTGAGATGGAAAATTTGAGTCAGGGTCAATTTGAGACAGAGGGCCAATTTGAGCCACAGTGATTTAGTGACAGGGACACTTGGAGACATGGACATTTAGATACAAAGACAATTTGATGCTCTCTCAAAGCAACTTTGCACAAAATATGTTTCTTTCTTATACACTTATTTTCTGGTTTTCTCCAGATTCTTAGTGAATCTTGGGGAGTTTTCAATTGCACTAAAATTGCAGGTTGTCCTCAGACAACCTGATTATTATTATTGTTTGAAACATTTAAATTCACTCATAATTTTCACTTACTTACTGCTTTTGGACTTTGGTTGAATCTTTTTGAAAAGTTTTGCAGATTGAATTCTATGATTCCATTAAGAAAAATCCAGTCATAAATTAATGAAGATGCAAGTTGAACTGTATCAGTAAAAATGAAGCAGAAAAGTTTGTACAGTAGATGAAAAAAGTCAGATAGCCAGATAATGAAAATCTTTAAATACTTATTGAACTTGATTAGACTAGAACTTGATTGCTTATAAATTAGAATAGTTTGAAGTTAAACCATCCCAGAAATTCATGAATTATACAATGTACTGGACAACATTTCCATTGTTGCCCACATAATGCTCTTCTATACTTCAATGTGGCCCTTGGCCACTTCTGAGTTGGGCACCACTGGTTTAAAATTAATAGTGAAATGTAACAATTTTAATGTTTTAGCAAGTGAATTTGCATAACAGAGTTCACACACCACAGACTAGTCTGTTCCACAAATCAAGTCCATTGTGTGGGGGTTGACTGTACTGCAAATGTGTTTGATTCAGTTTAGGATTTGCAGTTTATATACTTTCCTGTTATAAATCTCAGTACCTACTCTGCAAGACCGCACTACCATCCAGACAAATCTTTAGGATGAGTTCATAATCACAAGGACCTACCAGAAACTAAATTTTACTTTTCCGCATTCTGCTGAAACTGATTTTGGGAGGTGGTTAGGCAAAGCTAGGTTAGGTCAGGTTATGTTAGTTACAAATATCTTTTAATTAACATAACCTGACATAACCTAACTTTACCTAACCACCTCCCAAAATCAGTTTCAGCAGAAACCCAAAGAAAGCAGGAACAGATTTTGGGAGGCCCTTAGGTGAAGTTAGGTTAGGTCAGGTTGAATTGGTCAGAGGGAAGGTACAGAGATAACAGGAAAGTAGGTACTGAGATAACAGGAAAGTACCAATAAGACTTGCACTAACACTTAAATGTACACATAATATAATTCTCTCCATCTGGCTTATTCAGGCTCCTGAAAATATCAGTTGCCTGCAACATTTGAGCAAAACTTGATTTACAAATACTGCACCTTCAATAAAGCCTATATCAGAAAGAAAACAATAATACTGTAATGTACTTTCCGGTAATGCATCAGCAAAACGAAACCTAAACTAGGCTGACACCTTCCCATTTATTACCCAGAATCAAAAAAGAATATATTTCTTCTTATCATAGATGTCGCCTATGCATCTCTATATACCTGTACCCAACCAAAATCATGCATCAGTTCACGAAGTTTTCTGTTTATGTGATGAGTATCCATTGAACTGAGTTGATAACATTATCTTATTCATGTTTTGATGTTTCTTTGAAATTTTGCTGCCCTCATGCTGTGCATGGCTGGATAATGAACTTCATTTTGAAATGCATGAGAAAGACTTTGAACTTCTAATACAGTAAATCAGTAATTCATAGCCTCATCAATGTAATGTTATATTCAGATCCAGAGATGGCCGCCATCGTGTGCTCATCAGCGTCCACCCACGCGTGCGGTACACGCTGGTGCTCAACCGCGTCCGAGTCTTTGACTCACAGAGCTCGACGGCAGTCACATCAGGTATCGACCAGCAGCGACACCTACGCGCGGAACGGAGACAGCCGCAAGGCGCGGACGGTCTCCTACACCCAGGTGCCACGAGCAACTCTAATGACGAGCCTGATGATGAACCGGGGGTCTCTTGGACCAGTGATGTGCTCAAACATGGCGATGACGTATTTTGTTGGTGGTCATCGAATGATGGGGGGAATGCAGGTGCACAGGAAAATATTGTAAAAATAGAGGAGCAACCCGCGCAATGTTCAATCATCTTCTGGATTGCATAATATCTATACCCACACGTGTTTTTGAAGAATTTTCAAGGATTTATTGCTGTAAAAAAATTCATACGTATATCATTGATCAAAATGACGTATTTTAGAATTCTCAAGAATTTATTCACATTTTCAGAATGATGAGTTCAAATGAGAGGATACCAGCAATGTAAGAATAATTCGAAAGAAGGGACATTTTATTGTAATGAAAAGAGCTCAGGATTCTTTCGGAAAATGTCTTGAACCGTTTTGTTCAGCCCAAGGAAAAGCAAAAAAAGCAGAAAGGATTTCAGATATAAGTATTGTATTAGCATGACTAGGAAAGAAAATTATTTTGGAAAAAAATGTTTAAATAGTGTATTCAACTTGAAAGCGTTATCCGTTTTAGACCACCTTTCATTAATTCCAAGAACCACACTCAACTACATTTAGAAGAGAAAATCGAATTCTGCACCTGTCTTCGAAAATTGTGAAATGGAGAATTTTGACATATTCCTCAAAAAAGTTTATTATAGTGAAAAAAGTCTGTAACCTTATTCACTGGAGTATGCTGTTGCTCAAGTATTCAAAAAGTTTCAGGGTTGAAACATTTTTTAAACAGAAACTGAGGAAAACTAGAACCATTCATTCAGAAAACAATTCAATAGATTTCCCAGTTATGTATTCTTGGTCCTTCATGCAAAAATCATAGGTAAATCAGATTTCAAGCTTCAGTCATTATTTCAAGCATGGGTTTCAATGTGAGGGAGTTAGGTGTATTACAGATAAAAATGTGAGAAAACCTCACAGTGCTTGGAAAAATGCGCAGAAATGGAATAAAAACAAAATAATTTTCCAGTATGGTATCCCATATATGAAAGTCACCCAGAAGAATCTGACTTTTTAAATGACAGTACAGTGGCCCCCGCCTAACAGACCTCCTGTGTAAGGGATTTTTGCCAAACAGACCAGCTCTGGAAGCAGTTTTTCCTCCCGCCCAACAGACAAAATCCGCCAAACAGACTTCTTTTGGTTTAAAATTAGTGTTGAAGATTGAAATTTTTAATTTTTTATGTAATTGTATTCGTGTAAAGGACTTTTCATCTAACAGACTCATCCCTTGCACGAATCAAGTCCGTTAGACAGGGGTTGACTGTATTTACATCTTCACATAAGAATGTGGCAACTACAGGAGGTACCTTGCAATTCAACCTCCCACAATTCAATCATCCTGCCTTTTGATGGAAAAATTTGCAGGGAGGTTGACTTGCAATTCAACCCTTGCCACATAATTTGACCTGCTTTGGCCACTTTTTTTTGAATTTTTGTACTGATATTTTTGAGTTTCTCAAAGTGTCTTGCAATATGACTGCTTTGCAATGTAGCCCTAGTTTGGCAATGGGTTATAGGGTCAAATTGTGAGGTATAATACCACTTGTATTTTGAACCAGTTGTTGGCCTGTAATTTAACATATCTCTGCAAGTCTGATGAACATGTGGGAATTTTGTTTATTCTGGACAAGTCTGCAGATTCTTGTACATGAACACACAAGCTAAGGGCACATCTGAGAAAACACCAACAGACCAAGGTACTCCTCACCCATTCACAACCATACCAGAGGAACTGCAGTTGAAAATCTTGTCTAAGCTGCCAGCACATGAACTGCAAGCAACTGTAGCCCCAATCAGCATGTACTTCTTCAATCTTTGCCACAGTCAAAGCCTCTGGAAAAGCCTTCACTTATCATCAATGTTTATGGAGAGATGGGCTGTTGCTGAAGTGCTGCATGGCAGTGTTTCAGCCAAGTCCATAGGCAAGTTGATTGCCAACTACCAAAATGACTGGGATTTAAAACTTTCTTTGGTAAAATATTGTTAGTAATGAGGATTACTTACTACATTTAGAATTTATTACCCTATGATCAGCAGAATACTGTACTTCATTCAGTTCCTAAAGTGCAGCATGAATATAGAGGCAAAGAAAAAGTTCCAACTACACAATTTTGTCATGAATATTGTGATATTGTCAAATCAACTACTGCCATTCATTTGCTGAACTTGCTTCTGGTAAAACTAAGCCATTAATGTTGGAAACCTCCAGTATTCCCTTAGTTTTTAATACTGTAGCCCCATTAACAAACTTATTACATTTCAACATGGAATTTATGAAAATCTCAAGTGGTGCAATTATTTCAGTGTATACACAAAAACTGGGTACTGCATCACCCAAACATATTCTTTTCTCATGTCCAGCATTCAATACCATCATAACTGAACTTCTGAAATGCTTTGGATGCTCAAAATTTAATGAAAATGTTCTTTGTGTTCTTGAAGTGATTAAATGTCTTTGAGGGGATTTGGGTTGGGTGGGGAGGGGTTTGGATGTGGAAATCTTGATTGTACCTTGTGAATGCTGAAAAGTGGCAAATGAAGTGTTTTGTTCATTCATTCATTCTGAAATTGTCAAAAAGCAGGAAAAAGTGTTAGCTCGTTATGATTTCTCCAAGATTCTTCCTTAATTGTCCAATCAATATACAGTGGTACCTCATAGTACGAACGCCTCGTAAAACAAAAGTTCCGCAGAACGAACGTTTTTTTGGGCGAAAATCCATTTTTTTTACCCTCGTACTACGAACAAAATTCGTAGTACGAACGTTTTTTTTTTTCCACAAAAATCTGAAAAATTTGGAAATTTGAAATTTTTAAAAATATTTATTTAAAGGCTATTAAATAATGAAAAAATCATAAAAATCATACAACATAATAACATTCAATTGAGAAGNTTTCTTTGCCTCTATATTCATGCTGCACTTTAGGAACTGAATGAAGTACAGTATTCTGCTGATCATAGGGTAATAAATTCTAAATGTAGTAAGTAATCCTCATTACTAACAATATTTTACCAAAGAAAGTTTTAAATCCCAGTCATTTTGGTAGTTGGCAATCAACTTGCCTATGGACTTGGCTGAAACACTGCCATGCAGCACTTCAGCAACAGCCCATCTCTCCATAAACATTGATGATAAGTGAAGGCTTTTCCAGAGGCTTTGACTGTGGCAAAGATTGAAGAAGTACATGCTGATTGGGGCTACAGTTGCTTGCAGTTCATGTGCTGGCAGCTTAGACAAGATTTTCAACTGCAGTTCCTCTGGTATGGTTGTGAATGGGTGAGGAGTACCTTGGTCTGTTGGTGTTTTCTCAGATGTGCCCTTAGCTTGTGTGTTCATGTACAAGAATCTGCAGACTTGTCCAGAATAAACAAAATTCCCACATGTTCATCAGACTTGCAGAGATATGTTAAATTACAGGCCAACAACTGGTTCAAAATACAAGTGGTATTATACCTCACAATTTGACCCTATAACCCATTGCCAAACTAGGGCTACATTGCAAAGCAGTCATATTGCAAGACACTTTGAGAAACTCAAAAATATCAGTACAAAAATTCAAAAAAAAGTGGCCAAAGCAGGTCAAATTATGTGGCAAGGGTTGAATTGCAAGTCAACCTCCCTGCAAATTTTTCCATCAAAAGGCAGGATGATTGAATTGTGGGAGGTTGAATTGCAAGGTACCTCCTGTAGTTGCCACATTCTTATGTGAAGATGTAAATACAGTCAACCCCTGTCTAACGGACTTGATTCGTGCAAGGGATGAGTCTGTTAGATGAAAAGTCCTTTACACGAATACAATTACATAAAAAATTAAAAATTTCAATCTTCAACACTAATTTTAAACCAAAAGAAGTCTGTTTGGCGGATTTTGTCTGTTGGGCGGGAGGAAAAACTGCTTCCAGAGCTGGTCTGTTCGGCAAAAATCCCTTACACAGGAGGTCTGTTAGGCGGGGGCCACTGTACTGTCATTTAAAAAGTCAGATTCTTCTGGGTGACTTTCATATATGGGATACCATACTGGAAAATTATTTTGTTTTTATTCCATTTCTGCGCATTTTTCCAAGCACTGTGAGGTTTTCTCACATTTTTATCTGTAATACACCTAACTCCCTCACATTGAAACCCATGCTTGAAATAATGACTGAAGCTTGAAATCTGATTTACCTATGATTTTTGCATGAAGGACCAAGAATACATAACTGGGAAATCTATTGAATTGTTTTCTGAATGAATGGTTCTAGTTTTCCTCAGTTTCTGTTTAAAAAATGTTTCAACCCTGAAACTTTTTGAATACTTGAGCAACAGCATACTCCAGTGAATAAGGTTACAGACTTTTTTCACTATAATAAACTTTTTTGAGGAATATGTCAAAATTCTCCATTTCACAATTTTCGAAGACAGGTGCAGAATTCGATTTTCTCTTCTAAATGTAGTTGAGTGTGTGGGAGGGGGAAGGATGGGGCAAAATACTTTGAAGCTTGTGAATACTGAGGAGCAGCAAATTAATAAAGTATATTTATGAATCAATCAATAGGCTCCAACCTTCAGCACTTGACAGTCAGTCATTGTCAATGGCTGAGTTGCGAGGAAATACTGGGTGCTGTTAAATCATGTCCCAAATTGGAGACGTTTGTTCTCAGCTACAGAGGGGGCAGATCACCAAAGTTACTTGGCTGGAAACTCAGGGCACTAAGTGGTAGTTGCAGGAAGCTACAAAAGCTGGTATTTGAAAAGGTATAATTTAATTCTACTTGAAACCTGATTACGATATAGTGATATCTGCAAATGAAAAATTGCAGGTTTCCTTCTCTGGCTTTGAAGATTGTGGAATCATGGCCAATTTGGAAACACTGGGACTGAGGATTTGCTCCATATCTGGGAGGAAAATTGATTTTTCAAGATTTGCCAAAAGTTTCCCTGTTCTGACAGAGTTAGCCATGGGTTCTGGGATTTCATTTGACTTTACTGGACCCAAGAGTGGTAATTATGCTTTCTAATGCATAAGGTTGATGCAGATTTAAGGTTTTAATCATTCACATGGTTTGCACATTTCTTAAAATCTGTTTTTTTTTCATGATTCTGGATAGTTTGGGTTCATTCCAGAGACTGATGTGGCAAAATTGATGCTATCCAAGCTCCAGAAACTGTATTTCCATCAAGCAACCTTTGATGGATTGCAGCCCAAACTGCCTCTTGGAGCACTCAAAAACCTGACCTCACTCACAATTGAAAGTGCTGCGAAGCTAACAAGTCAAGACTTGCAAGAAATTGCCACATTGCCCCTTTTAACATCTCTGGGATTGACAAGGTGCACATGTGATGACCCTGGAGCACATCTTTCACCAGGGGACTGGTTAGATTTTGTCTGCAGCTGTTTATGTGCACCCAGGCTCATGATTTTGAAGCTGCGCAGGGCCTCCAGTGTTGATGACGATGTCCTGGTGGCTATTGCACAACATTTCACAGTTCTAAAGAGTCTTGATATCACAGAATGCACCAGGGTCACTGACACAGGTTATTTGAAAAATAAATCTGTTTCATGTACTGGGGAGGGTCTTCATACAGTATTTCCAATTTTCAAAAAATCCCTTGTCCAGGAATTGAATGTCCTTTTCATACATTAAAATCTCAATGAAGAACTCCCAGAGATCAGTTAAAGTTTCTCTTTTAATGAGACTCTTGGTTTTTATCATAGCATTCAGAGTCAAAATGTCCAGGGAAACAAGAGATAAATGTTCAAGTGCTTCCACAAAATGGATGTTGTGATGACTTGCCATACTGTTAAACTCATTTTGATTAATCAATAAGGTAAAATATGTAAAATGTAAAGGATACCTACTCTCTTATTTGAACTTTCCTATCTTCAAACTTTCTTTACATATACTGATCAAACTTGGATGTATAGACTGAAACATTTTTACCAGAAGAGCACTTATGAATTCCCATGACTCATGACTTCTTGGATAGCGCAAGATTATTTAAAGTCTATGTGAAAGAAAGCTAGGGTCATTGTGTAGAAATGTAGATCATGAAATCAAGCTTGAGAAATTCACAAAGAATCCCATTCTTCACTCCTCAATTCCTGAATAAAAGAACAACACCTTCTCTCTTGATGATAAACTTTTGAATACAGCAGAAGTTGCATTTTGACTTTTTTTTTTGTAAACTATGAAACATCATTCCTTCATGGTCAATGCACATATTTAGGGCATGAAGTATTTATACTGAGATTACAAGAAAAAAAAAAACCTTTGTGAAAAGGTTTGTAGGCTATGTTTCAAATGATATAAATACTGGTACCCAAGAAGAAATTTTCTTTAATGGAAAAGTTGTTATGACTAGTTTTCTTTTTTACCAGAAATTCATCATAGAAGGAAAATCAATTTTAAAAGTCTTTATAACACAACATTGACAAAATGTAGGTGTCGCTGCTGTTGTAAGAAACTGTCTTCAGTTGGAGAGCTTGGAAGCTGGGGAAAATGACCAACTGAGAGGCACTGATTGGTTGGATAGACTGCTTCAAGCAAGACCAAGGTTCCAGCATTTGGCAGTTCCTGGCACTCTTTGTGAATCAGCAGTTCCTGAAGATTTGAAGCTCAAGACCAACACTCTTTCCAGAAAAGAAAATGACTTATTTCTGTGACTCAAAATTGTTCAAATTCCCCCCTTCCCCACAACCCAATGAGCTAATAAATGGAATTCTCTTTCTTCTGAAAAAATTCCACATGAATTCATCTTCAAATTCAGTGCCTCAGGAACAGGTATTTATTTTTTGTTGAATGATGAAAATTTGCATGCCTCTTGGATGACAGTGGTAATTTTCATGCTGTGTCCATTTCCAGCCTGAAAAGCGGAAATAATTGGAAAATTTAATCTAAATTCACTATTTTTTGAATAAGGAATTTTCAACTTGCTCACAGTTCTGTTTTTTTTGAAATCCTTCGAAGTTGCAGATAAATTATTAAAATTTTCCAAGAATGTAAATTCGGTTCGGAAAAGTGACGCCTTCGCCGGAATATTCTCCATCATCATTAACCAGAAGCATTTTCTGGATTTTGTCTTTCAACACCCGAGCAGAAAATACTCCCAAGGATTCTTCCAACACTTGATCCTCCTCCTGAATTATTTTGTCCTCAATTTCACTATTTCTGGGAAAGCTGGTCACTGTCATCAGCACTGAACACAATATGAGCAGAGATGAGATGCTTTCAATTAGTTTCATGATGTTTCCAAAGCCTGAACTTTCCAGAATTAAGAATTAGAGAAAGACAAGTGGTTATATGCTATGAAATTACTTTCTATGCTGACGTTTCTCTGTTCAGGGTGATAGTGAATATTTTGAGTCTCATGTATCCAAGATATCACAAAAATACACCACATAATGTGTGGTGGAACAACAACTTAAATGCTTGGAACACTTGCCAGAGAAACACTTGTGTGTAAGTGGCATTCAGAGTATTGAATTATATTTTGTTTCTCTCAATAATTATCCTCCTAGTTAATAAGATGGGTATCCCCCAAATTATGCAATGCTAGTGCACAGTTGTCAAATACAAGTCAGTTATGATGCTTCAGAAGGTGGGTCTTTCCTGATTAGACTGCCAAAAACTGAGCAGGAAAAATGAGTTCTGAACTTCTTCAGCTTGACATATTTTGGCTCAATGCTCCTTTTGTAAATTTAAAAAAATCCTCCTTTCTGTGTTGTTCAAGTGGGGCAACATTTTATAAAAATTACTCCAGAAAACCAAAAAAGTAAGTAAGTATAGGGAAGTGCTTTCTTCAGTCAACTATCCCTTATGTGGGACTTCCTGCTTTAATTTGGGTTCAGTAAATGTCTTATGCTGACCTTTTTTTTACTGATATTTTGTTTTTGCTATCTGCTGGGAAGGTTAGAAAATGTAAGTTCTAAAGTTGAAAAATACAATGGAAATTTGTCCAATGCTGTTAATAATTTCAATTCTATGAGTTAGGGAGGTTTGAAATGTACTGTATCACGGTCTTCAGGGGATATTTACTAGTAATTCAATGGGAACTTCAAGTTAGATAAGCTTCCATTTGACTTGAACATGTTGAACTGTGCTATTTGTTCAATTCCATTTAAGATAAAAATGTATAAAATTTAGGCAAAGGGATAAAGAATCAAAAGTTAAATGAGCTTCACCTCAGCATTTTGTGCGAGCTGATAAACTCCTTCTATGTCACCTCCAAGCATTCCTTCATTGTACATGAGCTTGTCAGGATTATCATCCACTGGTACAACAGAAACTGCTGCTGAAACCAGGGCAAAAATGACAAACACCTTCCCAACTCAACCTGTGACTCTGACCTCTTGATCGAGTGCATTTTATGAAAGCGGACGTTGTAAAATAATTCAGCCAACATTCATCTATGCGTAAAAATGGTCATGTATTTTATTCCGATTGTGTATAATGACAAAGGTTGCGAATTCTCCCAATTTCCGGCTCGTATCTCTTTTATGGACGTTTTCATTCCGTTATCTTAAGCCTTCTGTGAAGCAAATGTCAACAAACTTTCATTTTCAAAGAAAAAAATTGCGGATTCTTGGCGATTATATATGGCAACTTTTGACGAGTATACTGACAATATACTCACTGTAATGGAAATCTGAAAGGAGAATGATTTGATTTCTGGTGATGTGGTTGTGGAAGGTTAATTTTTTTTCCAGTTAAAACAAGACAGACATTCATTTTAACCCAGTTATGATTAGCTGCCTGAGATACATGTAATCTTTGTGGTTCAGAAATAGTATAACTTTTGAGCCTGAATTTAAAGAGGTAACTTTAATTTTTGATTTGAAATGCTTTTTTCCATCAATCTGCCACCGTTTTATTCCTTTTTTCAAATTCTTTTTTTTTAAGTTAATACAAAGTGAAGAAGATACACAAAGGGGAAGGAAATGTTTTAAGACACATTCAAGGATCCCTTCAAGGATTTGGAAAATTTCCAGTGGAGATTGCATAGAGTTTCCACATTTTTCTGAGACTTGGGATGAAACTCATTTTGCATGGAAACATTCAAGGACAAGTTTTGGTGGACACCAAAATTTGTCCTGAAAAGGTGGCAAAACAAATTTGATACTGTTGCCATCTTTGAGAGTTTAAATCTAAGGTGACAAGCAAAGCGTGATAGATTGATTTATTTTCAAAAGAAGATGATGTATTTCACAGTTGCTTCTGCTAAATGGGTCCTTTCATGGAAAGGCACAAAATTTGTGAGAACAACTGACTCAATTCTCAACGTATGCCATATACTGCAAGTATAGGCCTTCAACCAAGTAACCTCCTCATAAGCAAGTAACATATTGTGATTAAATTATCATTGTGTCCAAAAATGCGTAAAGAATACTGCACCATTGTTCTATTTTACCTTTTTTTCCATAGTAACTGGCAAAACAATGTCATTGTGGGGCTGGAAATCCACAAAGAACTGATGGAAATAAATGTACAAGGTACTCAGCCTTTACGAGGCCAGATCCTCCTTACAGGAGTCCAAAGAATCTTAGTTTATCAAATGCTCCAACAAACAGTCAGGCAAACAATACAGACAGATCACACACACACACAATCTTCCAACACAACAGATCAGGTACACAATCAAAATAATCAGGATAGCAAACACCACAATTGGAGATCTCTGAGAGATGCTTCTTTCAGCGCTAGTGAAGTCAGCAAGTGACCATTTCTGGGCACTGCTGGCTTCCTCTACAACTTCAGTCAAGGCTACTTGTAAACCAGTTTTGGCAGCAGGCACTTTTGGTGGAAGGTAGCAGGAGCTTCCATCCTGCCCATCTGTGACCATTGGTGCAGGTACAGGTTTCTCAACTCCTCTGCAAAGATGCTACAAGGGGCTTCAGAGGGGCTACTGACTGTCAGGCTCAACCCGACTGTCATCATTTTGTCTGAATTTTCCCACCTGGTTACTGGTCAATCCCCTTTATCACCTCATCTGCCCCCATTTTTAGGTTGTTGCACAGCTGCAATCTAAGAGCCTCAAATCTATAAAAGCTGCACCTGTATATATTTTCACTCACTCATTGTTGGTCTGGCTGCTGTTGCCTGTATTCTGAATCTAGAAATATATTCACACTCTATAACAAGAAGTCTTGTTCCATTAAAAAATTGACCCCAGCCATAAGAATTGAAACTTCTTGTTGAAAAGTTATCATTGGGAAGGATACAGGAGGAAGGGATTACATAATGGAAAAAGGACGTTATTGCAATATGAAGAGCATTCTTGTATTGGAATCCTAAAAAAGGAAAACAACCTAATGTAACAAGAGCCCAAGTTTTATGTCCATATTGACTTGAGCAAAAAAACCCTTTGAGCTAAGGAACACACCTCAAATCAAGTGAAAAAATAGAAATGATTTTAAATACAGCAAAAAAACAGGTGTAATGTGTGTGTTATGAATTTGTGCAACTTCAATCAGTTGAAATTACAATACAGTAGTATTACTCAGACTTCAATTTCCCGTCTGTGATTGACATGAACTGTATTTGCTATTAGAAGGGAAAATGTAATTAATTGCACTTGACTCAATTTATGTTTTTCATGCCTGATGTTTACCCAATTTAGAGGCTGTGAGAAAAAGTATTTGATTCTCATCCAGCATAGGTGACTTAAATAGTTGATGAGTCATATTTAAAGTCTTCTTTTTATTGAAAAAAATTGGAGGAAATAAACAGAGCATCATCAACAAAATTCTTTGAAAATGTCAGTAAGTCATTTACGCTGTCTTTTATTCAATTAAGAGGACATGAATAAAGAATCATCAACAAGTCTTTCAAAATGGGCTGGGAATTTTGGTTGCTTTTATACCCAAAAAATAATTCACTAATGTTATCCAGGAAATACTCGGGTTTTTTTCCAAGACCTCTTTTTAAATTGCACCTTACTTTGAGGAAGCAAACAAGGTTTTCTCCTTTTTTAGGATTCCAATACAAGAATGCTCTTCATATTGCAATAACGTCCTTTTTCCTAATCTTGTGTACATTTAACAAGATTCTCTTAAGACTTGTCTGTTTTTGTTATATTTGTCTTGAACAAATTTGGTTGTGAATAAAATATATCTTTTATATATATATTCAATCTGAGGTTGTTTATTTAATATTGGACAACACTAATAAACTAAAGGCATTCATTCATCATGAAGGCTTCAGAGATAACATTTGGCAGATAAAATCGTTAAAATATTATTCCTTATTCTCAAAACAGCTTGAGTTTTTCTCAGTATAGACCTTATCAAATTCAAAACGTAACTTCAATTTCAACCAACAATCGCGCTCCGCCTGTGCACTTGAGAAGATGACGTCGACACTGTTCTTGTTTTTAACTTTCTTTGCAACTGTTTTTGCAATTCCTGCCAACATAAAAAATCCGGATAGTTTTATGTACAATGACGGCATGCTGGGGGGAGACATCGCTGGAGGATATGAAATTGTGACGGATGAAGACGTGAGTTGTTCAAAAAACAGGTTCTGGGTAAAAAAAAAAATTAAAATCGAAAAAATTGTCGCATTTTTTGAACATTTTTTCTTTTTATAGGGCAAAACTGCGATCATACCGAGTTCAAACTATGTTTTCTGGCCCAACAGTGTCATGTACTATGAGATTCATGAGAGCTTAGGTAAAAATGATTTTTATACTGGAAGCATTTCAGGAATGATCATCAGTCTAGCAGTGACAGAAATGAACATACTTTGCAGCTGATCACAGAGATATCATCATGTCAGCAATGGATGAATACCATGAAAACACCTGCCTGAGGTTTGAAGAAAGGAATGGAGATGAGAGCATTGAAAACTATGTTCTACTCAGAGGAGACATTTCAGGGTGAGTCTTATTCATTTTTGTAATTGCACTTCTGAGAAAAAAATGACCTTCTTCAAACATAATTTTCCAATTTTACCCAAAGTAGATTTTCTCTGCAGCTGATTTTCTTCAGAATATTATTCATCAGATGTCAATTGCCAAGGTTATTATAAAAAATGAATTCCCAATTGAAAAATGATTAAAATACTATGCAAAAGTTTAATTTTGAACTGTGGGCTTTCAAGTCAAGGCAGGAAAATGTAATTATTGCCAGAAGAAATATTCTCATGGCACTAATAGAAGATCAAGATTATCTACCCTTTTCATGAAAACAATAAATGTTCAGAAGACTGGTCTCTCAAAAACTACTTTTCACTACATTAAAATCACATAACAAATGAACCTTAGTTTTATACTCTTATTTATGGCATCCTCAATTAATAATGTTCAGATGATGTTGAAGATTTTTAAAATATAACTTGAACTATTGTGCTTTCAAAGAAATATTGTCATGGTAAAAAATACTGAACATTGCTTCCTTTATTCTGAGAATTGGAAGGAACATGAGCCTGGCATTCCAATCAAAGTATTATCTACTCTGCTAAAAAAACTGAATTTGAATCTGAGTTTGATAGTAATGTGTTAATTTCCTCTCAAGTTTTTCTGAAATCCATTGAAGCCAATGAAGCATTGAAGTTTAGTTGAGTACAATACTCCAAATGTTATGCTTCAAAGTGGTTCCATCCTGTAGGTTGCTCAACATTTTAACTCAAATTTGTCTAGGTGTTCCTCCTACAAAGGAATGCGTGTGAGTGGATTCCAAGAAGTAAAATTGCATGTTCCAGGCTGCATTTACAAGGGCACTATCATGCATGAGTTGATGCATGCTGCAGGATTTTGGCATGAACATCAACGCTTTGACAGAAATGACTATGTCAGGATTGCATTTGAAAATGTGGAGGCTGGTAAGAAAGAATACACATCTGCATAGTTTTGGGGTATATTTAAAAAAAGGAACACATATTTGAAAGGCTTATATGAAGCATTTATATCATTTCTATTCATAAACTTTTTTATTTGTAGGAAAGGAGCACAACTTTGACATTGCTGACTTGACAGAGTCCCAGAATGTTGGTGATGTGTCCTACAATTTTGACTCCATCATGCACTATGAGCTCACAGCTTTCTCAGTGAATGATGAGAGGACCATTGTACCAATTGGAGAATTTGAAAATGAAGACCCTGGCAACGTCTGGAACCAGAATTACATGTCACAGGGTGACATTGACCAAATCAATGCTGTGTACTGTTGAACTGAATTGCTGTAAAAGGTTATGATTGGCAATGAGCATTATGAATACAAAATACAGTATTCGTCAGCTTTCACTTCGTGCTTTCTTTTTATATACTCACATTCAAACTTTTCATGCCTTGGATTCATGTTTGTAACGTTTATTTGCATCTTGGTTTGGTTAGATTCAGACTTAGACTTTTGGAAAGAAATGTTTACAAGTTTCAGTTCTAAAAAAGTTTTAGGATTCCCCAAACATTTCTAGTAATGACTCCAATGATGTTCTAAATCAAATGATGAAATAAACCTCAGATGATGAAGACATTGGATGGCAATTTTCTGTGTGTATCAACATGAAAAGCAATGTAAGTACAAGAGCAGCTGAATGCAATATGATATTGTCATAAAAATGTATTATATTCTCAAGAATGTAAAAGTGGTGCAGTGTGATCAATGCAGTGGTAATCTATTTCTTCCTGCAGCACAAGAAATCCTTCTTTTATTATGTCCAGCATGCCACACCACAAAAACTGAACTATCACAGCACTTAGGGCTGTCTGGCTGTCTCACAATTAATTAATAATTTAGGCTTGCACTCCTTCAAATCTTGGAGAATCATGGTGAAATGTTAGATTCCTATGATTCATCTTCAGAAATTATTTCCAATTGTTTAATAAGTTTTAAAAAATACCTGGGAAACAGCTGAACACCTTGTGTTGGGAATGTTTGCTTAGTACAGTGAGACCCAGAAATTTGGCTACCCAACATACAGACAATTTGACTTGAGGATAAACTTAAAAATTCCAAAAATTGGGCCCAACATCCAGGCAATATCTTGATGTACTGACACTTTGTCAGCATTTTTAGAAAATTGAAAAATTGTCATTCTTCCAAATTTGAATATCTCTCAAACAAATTGAGCTATTCATATTCATAGAAGTTGGAACTGACTATCATAATTACTTATTTACGTGAATTTATAATTGAAAGCAGGTTAATTTTGTGTTTTTTCAGCATTCTCCATATCACCTATGCCCAGGACAGGAAGACATGTCCATTTTGTTTGTATTTTCAATTAATTTCATGCCAGAGGATCATATTCTGTGTGGGTTTCTTTATTCTGAATAGTTATATTCTGTATCTTTATGTTATTAAGAAACACATTTTATTTGAATTTTTGAGCATCTATTCCTGATTTTCCATGAACTGGGGGAACCAACTAAATGAGTTGCCATTGAAGTCTATGGAAAAGCAAGGCCCAGCATGCAGACATTCCAGCATAGGGACACTGTTCAAGCACCAATTACATCTGCATCTCTGGGTCCCACTGTATTTGCCTTTTGCAGTGTATTTTGTCTCTCTTGAACAATACAATGGCAGTTTTTTGAGTTATTATATGCTGTGATTCACTTTCTGTGAATAACTATTATATGCAGTGCATTTTTTGATACACCAGGATATGTCTATAATGGATGTGATAAAAGGGGGAGGGGGTAGGGGAAAAATCAAATTTCTTCCAGGAAACTTAGTTTAAATTGACCCTTGACACCTTCAGAATTTTTGGAAACCGTTCCAATGAATTATATACAGATAATTTGACAAGGGCACACCTTGAATTTACTAGAACATAAGGTCTTAACAAAGCTATGCTTATCAATTCAGTAAATGTGTAGATATTGATTGAAGTGCAAGAATTGCCGCAAACCAAAAACGTGAACAAAAATATACAGCATTGTATAAATTCACTAAAATTGTCAGATATACATTTTTTATTTGAACAATCCAAAATGTTGCTAAAGATGTCTGATAATGTTAAGCAGTGGTGTTTCAAATGATTTTTGGCAGTTGAAAAGATTATTCTCTGTTCTGAATATGGTGAGTGAGGGTTCACTGAATAGAAACAAAATTTTTTAAAGTAATGGTGAGAAAGATTTGACAGAGCACAGATTTATTGCAAATGCAGAATGTCATGGATTGAGAAAAGTCATCATTTGCTGCACTGATGTCTCAGTAGAATGAGCAAAGTTTAGCAGTAAACTGCATTCAACTGATTGATGTCTCCAGCTGAGAAGTAGTTCTGGTCCCACACAAAGCCGGGATCTTGTCCACCATATGGCTCAATGGTTCTCTGACCATTGCTGGAGAATGCAGTGAGTTCATAGTGCATCACTGAGTCAAAGTCATAAGAGGCTCCACCAACATTCACTGACTGGGACAAGTCAGCAATGTCAAAGTTGGATTCATATCCTGTGATGGGTAAACAATTCAGGCTAGAATCAGCATTCATGGTAGATGAAATAAACACTTAGTTTCCTGTTATGTATTTTAATTGTAAAATATATGTTGATAGTTGCTTATTCTTCAAGTCATTGAAAATTTCAGTGCATCATGAATTCATGTAGCTAAAGTTACAGTCACCCATTCAGGGGGCAATTTTTATAATTGAGATCCACCGTATTTACTTGAGTACCATGTGCCCTCAAGTAAGGCGCGCACAGGGGTTTTTCACTTGAAAAGTTTTCAAAAATTGTATCCCCAAGTAAGATGCCCACCCCAATTTTTAGTGAATCTAAAACCATTAAATTTCAAAGATAAAAACAAAAAATTTGACTTTAGGCATCAATTGAACAACAATCTGATGAATTATAAACTTGTTCAATACAAAAATGTTTTCTTGTTATATTTGTTCCAAATTTCTCCATTATAATTGAGTATAATACAAACATAACTTCGTAAAACTTCTTGAAAATTTTGTAACCGCTTATGACGCGCACCCCTTTTTTCTTCTGAAATTTGGGAAAAAAGGTGCATGTGTTACTTGAGTAAATACAGTATATCAACTGAATGATTTATGCAGAAATGTACATTAAAAAAATTCCCTTCCAAATCAAAGATGGAAACAAAAAATACATCAGTTTTTAGCATAGGATAAGGGAATCAAGTTTAAGGTTAAGAGTATATATCAGTGTTCCACATGCCATGGTCTGCAGACTGGCATTGGTCTGCAGACATTTTTTGCAGGTTTATAGAAAATTTTCTGCAGCACAATGAATTTATCCAAAGTAGCAATGAAGTCTGTTATCTTTATCTGAAGTTTTGGAAGGACAATGGCAGTTGAAATTATCTTATGAAACAGTTGTCTTTTCTCCCAATAAGGCTTCTGACAATTTTTAACCTGGTCAAGTACATAATTTACTTTTTTTTGTTCTGAAAAACCTCACCTCAAGCCCAAATTTCCAAATTGTTTGAGACATTCAACTGTGGATTCTTTGTAGGCTCTCCTAAATTGATGCAAAACATAAAATTTTCAAATACCTATCACAAACTCTTTAGAATGAATCTGTTCTATGTCTGTGAAATATTTTTGAAACTTTATGAATTGGCAGAATTTTTTTGGAAATTTGATGGTGTGTAAACAATTTCATGGGAATTTTCCAGTTACCAGCAGGTTCAAAAAGGTTGTAGAAAACTACAGTACTGTGAATTAAAGATGAAATACCTGAAATGACATTTTCAAAGCGGATTCTGACATAGTCATCCCTGTCAAATCTCTGGTGCTCATGCCAGAACCCAGCAGCATGCATCAACTCATGCATGATGGTGCCCTTGTAGACGCAACCATTGCGTTGCAGAGACACCTCTTGGTAACCCTGGGTGTACATGCCCATGTAGGACCAGCATCTGTCAACAGGTGTCGCTTGAAGCTCAATCGAAAAACAACTAATTCCAATTCTGTATGCAGCAAATAATTGCTCCTCACCCACTCAAGTCCCCACGGATATAAATGTAGTTTCTGATGTTGGTATTTCCATTCCTTTCTTCAAATCTCAAACAGGTATTTCTGTGATACTCTTCCATGGCTTCCTGAATTGCTCCCCTTTCATTGTCTTCAAATGAATATTGCCAGATTGAGATAGTGTAATTTCTTTAAACTGGTCATCAATAAGACGTACTACGCTTCTTAAAAACTCACTCAAACTGCTGTCAATTTCATAGTAGATGACGCTGTTTGGCCAGTAGATGTACCAGGAATCAGGAATAACTGTTGTCTTTCCCTGTTGAGAAAATCTCCACGTTTTTCAAGAGTTTAACGTACTGTACTTCCTATAGTGAAGAATGCACCATGGAGACTTCAAATCAAACCTCCCAAATTTAATTTTATGGTACTTCAGAAAATCTTGACAAAGAGTTTTTAGAGTCATACGTACTATATGGCCTGCTCTGTGCTGGTTAATTAAATACTATAAAATATGATTACAAAAAATGCATGGGGACTTCAGAAAAGTTTGTTATGTTTGTTGTTTTGGAATTTGAACGTTTTGAATGAGATGGCTTCAACATTTAATGAGATAGCTTCAGAATTGAATGAGATGGCTTCAATATGTACTTTACATATGCTTTCTGCTTGTTCATACTTGAAAAAAGTATGTTACACTGAATTAAAAAAAACCTAGATCTCAGTGTAGAGGAGCATTATTATCTGTCATACTCATCAAGATATTTTAAATATACTTATATCATACCTTCAGAAAGTTGTCAAACCTTTTAAGAAGCATCAAAATGACAAATTGCAGGTGATTTTAGTCAGGGGTTTTAAAATTTAGCACCAGTTTCACATTCAAAGGAAGAATTATAAACTTTGTATAAGATAGACATGTTGGATTCCAAAATGTTTGAGTTATATAAATGTATTGGTCTCTATAGAAGATTGGCCAGGAATTCACAATGGATCTTGGAGGTGGAGAGGCTTCAAAGTGGAGGAGGCTTGACTTGATGAATTTCAAGTGTACTTTTGGTTTTATTTCAGTTATTGAAGTGAGCATATTTACAATTGGAATACAAATTATGAAAAATTAAAAGAAGAGAATGAACTTCACCTCAGCATTTTTGACAAGCTGATAACCTCCTTTAATGTCACCTCCAAGCATGCCTTCATTGTACATGAACCTGTCAGGATTTTCTTCAACTGGGACAGCAACAGCTGCTGCCACCAGGGCCAAAATGACAAACACCTTCATGACTCAAACGTAAAGCTTAACCACTGAAGTTGATGCAATTTGAGAAAGCAACAGGGAAATGCATCAGTCGCATTTATATACTGGATGACTGATATTTATGAAATGATAATGATTGTAATGAATGCCATGTTTTCTTTGCACACGGCCACTTAATTCCAGGTGATTTGCGTCAGTATCAATTGAAGCTTTCGAATTGTTATCTAAAGCTTTGTGTGAAGCAGACACCATTATAAAGGTGGTTTACAGTAGAATGTTTTATTTTTGGACGTTTTTGTCTTATTCAAGGTTGATTGAATTTCATCCCTCTATTCGCACCGCATATACAGCTGTTCTTGAAAACATGAATTAATTAAAATGGCTTCCCCGTTGGGAATGAAAGCCCAATTTCTCGCATTTATTTTATTCCTCTAAGAATGTATAAACTGTACATTGTTATGGCACCTACAGATTCAAGTACAGTATATTCAGGCTTCAACAAGAATTCAATAGTTCTTGCTTCTCTGTTCCTCATTTTTAAAAACATTTTGAAAAATGTCAACATGAACTCACTCATTGGGGAAACAGTAATACAATACTTTACAGCACTGAGCTTTTTGTTAACATTGACAGAATGACCTTTGCCACCATAAAAGCTTGTTCCAAGAATAAAACACATGATGACTTTTTGGATATATTGATGTTTTTCTTGGAAAAGCTTCAAAAAGTCATTTGAAAAAAATAGGAACATAAATCCCTGCTGTTAGCAAAACAATATCAGTACTGTAATAAAAATTGGAGCATAAAGCAACTGCTGAACCAAAATAAAGCACAAGGCATTCAGTTGCTCCCAGATGAGTTTGAGGTGATTCAAAAATTTGGAGAGAATCTTTGAAGAATCTTTGCCCTTACTAAAAAAATCTTCAGCTGATAACATTGTACTCAATAATGGGTGCAATAGACATAATTTATCAAAGGATGTTTTAAAATCCTGTATTAACAGGTAAACCATTCAGCATCCAGGAATGAGTCAATGACATGTCCATTTAAATTTCATATGGATGCATCCAAAGTCACAAGCATATTAACTGTTGATGCATTCCTAGAGAGTGCTTTAGAATGATGCAGCAAAAGTTGCATCCATTTTTGACATGGGAAGTACAAGTACCATGATGCATTCCTAAAAGATGCATGTCTGATGCATGATTGTGTGTTTCCAACATCCCAACATTGCTTCCTTGACAGGGACATTGAATGACATCCTTTCATTGGGATGTTATTCATCATTCCAACATTGCATCCTAACTTGGGACATTGAATCACATCCCATCTGTCGTGGGTTGACTAGATGTCACCCAAAGCAAACAAGATCGCACCATGACGCAACTAGATGTTGCTCACGGTTGCGCCATGTTGCTTAGAAGCAACTGGAGTTCTCTAGAACTCACAAGAATAAAAATTATATAATATTAATATTCCATGAAGTTATGAAACCTTCATGGAATAATTATCATACCATTATGAAATATCATGAGTAATCCTCATCAAAAGGATTCTCATGAAACACAGGACCCAGCTCTGAGAAACTGGCCTTCAGGTTCATTNTTGTCTTTTTGCTTGTAAGTCAGCCAAATGTGAAAATTTTCCAATGTTTAAATATAAGTAACATTTAGAAACCACATGTGCGCATGCAGCATTGGAAACAATTAGTAAATTGATCAAAAATGCAATTTTTGGAAAATTTGCAAAGTTGGCAACTGGGAAGAGAAGCATATATGGGAATTCAAACTTCTCAGTTTAGCTCCATCTAATTTTTTCATTTGACTGAAATTTGAAATTTTTTCACAGGGTTGTATGCACATGGACATTCTATGATCTAACATATATTTTTGTTGAAACAGATTCATAATTGAATTAGTTTAAATTCAAACACTAAAAGCATTTTTCCAATTTTTCTACAATTTTCAAAAAAGATTTTGCCTCTTTCAGTGTATCTCACTCAATTTTGGCATTTTTTTTTCAAAATTTGAACAATTGGGATTTAGGAAACATCCATGAGCCTGCAACATTTGAAGAATTTTAAAAATTGAGTCAAAATTTAATAAAATCCAGGATTGCTTGCGCACAGATGTTAAAAAAATGTAAACATTTTATCTGAAAAATTTGAAAATTGACTAAGCTGAAATTTAAAATAAAAAATTTTTTTTCACAATTTTCATAAAATAAAATAAAAGATTTTGCGTTTTTCATTTCAATTCAGTCAATTGTCCACTTTTTTCAAAATTAAAAAGGAAGAATATGTGCTGGCAAACAGCATGGTGCTCTTTATAAAGTTGAAAAAAATTAGTTTGATGAAGAATTGAATTTTGGACTAATTTTTAAAGTTTGATAAAATAAGTTTGATCAAGAATTGAATTTTTTACTAATTTTTAAAGTTAGCAAAACGGGAAATGGAATTTTCCAAAAATTCCATTATTTTCAGTTTAGCTCATGATAACTTTTTTTATTGATGGAATTACAATTATTTTTTAGGGGTACATGTGCATGGATAGTTTTTTAATTCAAATATTTTTTCAATGAGCAAAGTTTAAAACGTGAAATGTAAATATTAAAGATGTAAACGTATTTTTCCCAATTTATCCGTTTTTAAAAACAGTTTTGAGTTTTTGATTGAAACTTGGCCAATTTTGAACATTTTTCCAGATATAAAAAACATGAATACAGAAAACATTTGTGCGCCTGCATAAATTTAAGAAATTTAAAAATCCTTTTCAAATTGAATTTTTGGCAAATTTTTGAAGTTAGGAAAACCAAAAGGAAAACAGAAACAGGAATTCTAATTTTTCAGTTTAGCTCATTCTAACTTTTTCAATTTGAATTCAATTTTTAAAAGGTTTGCTGGGTTGATGTGCACAGATTTTTCACAATTTTACATTTTTTTTATTGAAATGTTTTGATAATTGAAATAGATAAAATTCAAAAAGTAAAATCTTTTTTCTTGTTTTTTGTACAGTTTTCAAAAATGTTTCTGCGATTTTGATTGTATCTCACTCAATTTTTAAGCTTTTATAAAATTTCAAAAAATGACATTTATAAAACATCTGTTCGCTTTTAACATTGAAAAAAAATTGAAAATTCACTCAAAATTGAATGTTTGACACATTTTCAAAGTCCTTGATACAGGAAACGGGACCCTCCTGCAGGCCTCTGTGGGCTCTGTGGGAGGTGTCGTGGGTCGATCAGATGTCGCCCAAAGCAAACAACATTGCACCGTGAAGCAACTAGATGTTGCTCACGGTCGCGCCATGTTGCTTAGAAGCAACTGGAGTTCTCTAGAACTCACAAGAATAAAAGTTACATAATATTAATATTCCATGAAGTTATGAAACCTTCATGGAATAATTATCAAACTATTGTGAAATATCATGAGTAATCCTCATCAAAAGGATTCTCATGAAACACAGGACCCAGCTCTGAGAAACTGGCCTTCAGGTTCATTTCCATTGGAATGGATCTGAACCTGCATCACAACCCTCATCATCACCAGCATTCATGTTCCTGAAGTGTGCACGCAAACATCACTTGATCAAAGCTTGAATTCTGTGTTGGACATTTTCATCAAACTGAAAATATACTCTCAAAGAGTGAGGATCTACCTCAGGCCGCAAACGGCCGATTATTTGTGTCATTATTTCACTGAACCTAATTTCTTTGTCCTGGGTCTGAAGGGCCTACGAAAAAATCATTGGTAATTTATTCAATGTTCCTGCATTGCATCATAATTAAGGATGTTGAATGATGTCCCAATGATGGGATGTGATTCAATGTCCCAACATTGTATATACTTGCTCAGGATGTTGAATGACGTAATGTCATTGGGATATCAGTCAATGTCCCAATTTAAAATGCATGACATATTATATTCTTCACACTACTTCTTTCACATTTGTACACACACATGCACAAACACACACGCACTTGCACAGACATGGACACACCCACACACACACACACTTGCACAGACATGGACACACCCCCCCCCACACACACACAAACACACACACACACACACACACAAAGCAAGCCAAGTATTGTCACATTCAAAACAAGGAAAATTTCCTGACCCTCCATGGATTTGATCTGCAACCCCAAAAATTTGAGTGCGCAGCTTCAGCAACTGCACCAACCACCCATAATATGAAGCTAACAATGTTCTTCAACTTCTCTTGCATCATTTGAAAATTGAATCAATTGACAGATCTTGAGATATTCTCACTTTTCTAAGCCTAAGTTTTCTTCAGTGATAAGAATGTAGAAAACCTTCCTGACAGATTCTTATCTCACTGATGCACAAGCATTTGGTGCCAAAAGTTACTTTAAAAGCCTTGTTTCTAATTGTGCATGAATGAATTTATTTCTGCAAAAGATGCCTTTTTAAATTTGTGATTTCCAATATGTGATTCATTTTCAAATCTAGCAAAATGGGAAGTTAAAAATGGCTCATGCTGCAGGTTTGTACCACTTGACTGGATCTTCACAAGATGAGCCATTCTGCAAATGTTTTGCCAGAGGCAAAATATTTTGTTCAAAAATATATCATAGTCCAATATTTAGTGTTCTATTTGTGCAGAATTTTTCTGTTGATAAAGAATGCTGCCTGCCAAAAACGGAAAACACAACGTTGACTCAAAACTTGATCGGCGCATCTCGGGATGCGCCAAAAAAGAAACAGGAGTGCCAGAAGGAAAAGGCTGTTCCCCCTGAGCCGGGGCAGTACAACCGGGCAATACAAGATTGTAAAATCAGCAAAAACCTAGAGAAGGGGAATTTCTCCCTTCCAGTAAAATTTGAATTGTTGGACAAAATAAAAACATGACCAGCTGCTGGTAAAAACAGGTGGAAACATATGGCCTTCCTCAAAAAACAATTTGTCTTTTGAGTCAAAATGACCCTAAACTCTCTAAAGTTTGCAGCTCCCCAGAAAACCAATCCCCTGAGGATATTGTTTTTCTGTTGAGAGTTCAGCAAGATAATAAAAACAGACACCCGGTTGCCGGGAAAAACATGCCCTAAAAACTACAAAAACAGCAAAATCAAATCTTTGAAAACTCCGTCAGCAGCTGCCACCACCTGATGGTGTTTTCAAAGTCA